GTTTATATTATCGAATTTTCTTGGCCAATAATTTTATCAATTTGTTGCCTTTTTGATTTTTTTATATTCAATTTACAATGCAAATATACGATGATAAATATATATATATATATATATATATATATATACACACACATATACATACACACACACATATATAAATAAATATAAAGGTATAGTTAAATATTTATATATGTTAAGTATATCTTACGTATGTACATATATTTACATAGTACATAATAGTAATGACAATAATTACGCAACGCGTAGAATAGGAAAAAAATATTGATTCGTCAATATCCGTAAAAAATGTTAAATTTTTTTATCGTAAAATTGAATCGAAAATACGTCGAGAATGGTCAAATTAGACGAATACGAATGGCAAAGTTTCAATCAATATCTAATCATTGGCCCTGCTCTTATTACCCCCCTGAATAATCACGACGAATAATCACGCTAATTCCATCGAAGCTCTTTCGAGCGATTCGTTTTTGTTTCGTACTCGCTTCAAGCGATGTAGCCACTCCGATGTGTCTTGGTGTCTCACTCTTTCGCACGAAGCAGGCAAAAAGAGTAAAGAGAGAAAAAGAGAAAATCGTTTTTGATTCGTTCCACGATTTCGTGGGACGAGAAATCGAAACCGATTGCTAATTTTAATTATCCCCTTTGCTCGCGAGATATTCCTCTTCCTTTTTACATCCCCTGTTCCTACGGAGAAACCAGAGATCCTGGCACGATAATTACGTTAAAGCGATTCTAAAAAAAAAAAAAGAAAAAAAAAAAGAACATTGAAGGCGGAGGGAAAAAAAAGGGAAACAGATTAAAGGTGACCGAATGGGGTACGTTTACCGCTTTTAATCCCCGACTGCTGTCTCTGAAAGCACAGTGTCGAGAAGCAACGGGGTTGGCTGTTAACCAGCTCGAAGCACGCGATCCGCCCATTGGCGCCTAAGAATCGCGCAACGTCGAGTTATCGAGCAGAGAAACGCGCGACAGCCATGATCGGCCGCGATTAAGCTTTCACTTTCTCCGCTTGATGGTTCTTTATAAGAGTCGCTAAATATCACCTCTCGAACATAATATATATGTACATATATCTTTTCCTTTTTTGAGGAGATTGTTCGAATTATCCAATCAAAGAGATGTTCGTACATCGTTCCTCTCGTTTTAACTGTATTCGTTTGGTATTGCAGAAAACTGGGGCAAGGATCAAGATTTATTCTCACTGCTGTCCTCATAGCACTGACCGGCTGATCAGCATCTGCGGAAAACCGACCACGTGCATCGAGTGCATTCGTGAGCTGATTGCTACTATTAAAACCGTGAGTTAATAGGAATTAAAATTGGGAGTACAAAATCTGGAGATTTATATATATATATATATAT